AGGAAGGAAGGAAGGAAGGAAGGAAGGAAGGAAGGAAGGAAGGAAGGAAAAGAAAGTGGGAGAGAGAGATGAAAGAAAGAAAAAGAAGGAAGGAAAGAAAGAAAGAAAGAATGACCACAATTGAGCCCAAAATTTTGGTTGCTAAGCAAGAGCGTTGTTAAGGGAGTTTCACCACATTTTCCAAGTTGGCCATGCCCACCCAGTCATATAACCACCGAGCCACTCCCACAAAACAGGCCACACTTTCTTTTGGCTCTTGAAAGAAATTTCAATCATTGTCCTGTTGATATTTGGCTGTGTTGACGAATGAGTTGGCCGACCTCTGGCCTAGAGCAAAGTACAGAACATCCTCTACATCCTCTACAAGTACATCATGTACACATTAGCTCCATCTCACGCAGGAGAACTGCCGAATGCCATGTATACTGAATGCTTCCAGCTTTCGCCCAGCACACACCATCTGTAGCCAAGATCTCCGCCACAAGGACATTTGTTCTGGCGTGCTGGGCAGAGATGGAAGCAGACCTTCAGGAAACTAAACTGCAGAAATCTACAGATGAATCCATGGAGCCCTCTCAGGGAGGGTCTGGTAAGAACAGAGTAAAAGTGTTCAGGCAATCTTAAAAGACCTCAACAAACACAAGGCGCTTTTAAGACAGTTGTAGTGTTTAATTGATCAATCTCACACATAACCTGCTTCTGCATAACCAAGCAATTTTCCCTGTGCTTCCTCCCACCTTCACGCAGTTTAAATCCTACTCCAGACTACTCATTTCACGCATCTGATAGCTTCAGTTGCAGCTCAAGAAAACTGATGCCTTTTAGATAAAAATGGTTACTCAGAAAAAGGACTACTGGATTCCTGATTTTTATTTTTTTTGCCATTGTGGACTAACATGGCTCTCCTCCTACACCATCTCGGTGAGGAAGCGATGGGATATTTATTAGATTTGTGTCTTAGCTGCTTAGGGGAATCTGCCTCCTTGTGATGGAGCTGGACTGAGAGCAATGAATGGCTCAGACTGACCCAGGGAGCTTCAGAGGCCCTCAACCAGCTCCATTGTCTTTTGTTACCATTGGCCAATCAGTCAGACTGTGCTTCTCTTCAGCTCAGTCAGTGCATCTCAACTGTGGTCTGGATGCTGAAACAAATTCGCGCTCAACTGTACATTCATCTCCAAATTCTGAAATTCTGATAGCCAGTAGTTCCATAGCAGGCAGTGTCCAGCAGGAGGCAGCAGAACCATAGAAGGTCATTCTGAAGCCTCAGTGAGGGAGATCCGTACCTCCCCTTTGCAAAGAGCAGAAGGCAGATTGGGCTTTCAGGTTAGATATTTGGACGGTTTGCAGTGAATCTGCCCGGGTTGGCAATTTCTGTGGTAGCCAAATTGCACAAAAGATTTAAGGGGCTAAGATTTAAGGGCACCTTAAAGACTAACACATTTACTAGAGATCAGGACTGAGGCACTTGAACCTAGTACCTGTTTTATACCAGTGAATTGATTTTATGCTCAGTCTGCATTCCTTCATTTGTCATTCATTCCTGACGAAGGAGAATGTTTGTAACTCAGGGTTGAAATGAGGGCTCCTTGGTGCTTCTTGAATTTGGTGGTTTTCTTGCAGATGTTTCATTACCAACCTAGGTAACTTCATCATTCGTTACTTTTAAATAAAAAAACTGAACCAGGCAAATTCAATCAGATTTTGGTGTTCCCACTTTAAATCTTGCTAGATCTGGCAACCTCCTGGCCTCTGATAAATTTTAAATATATTTAGATATCCCACACACCATGGACCAGTAGACTATCATAGTTCTCAGATATGAAAAAAGGATGTACTACTAAATTAATTTCATTTGGAAGAAGCGAAGTAGATGTCTTATTAGAGTTAACTATTTTTCAGTGTTCTGGTTGACCAATAGTTTAGGGTTGTGGTTTTTCTGAAGTGCCTCATGTCTGAAAAAATTGAGTTGCAAGCCAATTTAGCTAGCGACAAGCCACAAACCTGTATGACAGGCAGCCAGCTAGTCTTTTGTCCATTTGGATACAAATTTTGCCTTTGTCCCTGAAGCCCTGTTGTCTTAGGCCTTTGGCTTGAACCACCAGCTGGGCTCCAACCTCTTGCCTACTTTGATTTCTAAAGTGTGGACCCCTTTTGTTCCAGGGCAGAGACCCCTGCACACCGGACCTCTGAATGTGGTGCTGCGCATCCGTCCACTGCATCTTTTTGTGGCTACAGGCACAGGATATGTGGGATACAAGCAATATGAGAAGCACAAGGACAAGGATCTTGAAAAGTTGGGTGTGGAGGTGGCCCCCCAAATTGCAAGTGAATGGGAAGTAAGTGATTAAACATTCTGTAACTTGTTCTAAAATGCCAAAACCTTCCAAGGAAACATAAGAAGAAACGGATTGTAGTGCATTGTTTAAAAAGCTGAATTTGGCATATGAGAATCTATCTTAGAATTTCTGCTGCTTTACTAGTGTTTCCTCTGCTCAGCCAATTAAAGCCATGCTTCCACAGGCGATCTGGATCAAAATTGTGGTTTTTCTCTGCACTGTAAATTTATAGGGAAGTATTTAAGATTCCCATATATCAGCATCTTGCTGGTATGAGCAGAGGTCATGAGCAGAGGCTACAGAATCCTACAATTGTCTTTTGTTATACAAACACTAAAAATACTGTCAATGAAAAAGACCTTACATTTCTTGGATTTTTTTTTCTGATTTCCTGGTAATGTTAAGTAAAATAATGGATTTTTCTATTCCTGGTTTGTATTGGTTCATTTCTCTCATTCCTACATTAATCAATAGCTGTTTTTGAAAAAAAAAAGAGTGTTACCTTAAAACAATTCACTTTGAACCTTTTTAAATCTAAACATGCAATGTATACATTTTAACATCCAATTTGATTTTAACATTTTAATTCAGAGAAATGTGAAATCTAGAGACTAATTACATTTTGATTCACATGTTAGAATGGGAATCGTGTAAGGTGGTTAAAAATGTGGATTGAACAAAATTCTTGGGCTTTGCTAAACATAAGAGCCAATGAGAATAATCGGTGGTAGAAAGTTTTTCTTTTTTCTTTTAAATCACTACTGCCTTAACAAATCTTGTAGTGGTGAAAGTTAATGCTTACAGGTCTCATCCTGTTGGCAAACAGTCCCAGTGCAATGTTGGCTAAATGCATCAGTTTGTTTCGGAAAAGGAAAAGGTTTGTTTTGATCGCCATACTTAGTGTGGCGCTATTTCTGTATTTTTTGCTGAGGGTGAATTTCCAGTAACCGGATCTGGAAGTGCTCTGTGGGGAATCCTGTCCATTAATTCATTAGAGGTGAGTGAGTGGCTGGATTGCCTTATAGACCTCTTGGGCAGCCAGCACAATCTGAGGCATCCCGGAGCACTTCAGCTGCCCCGGCTGAGTCCAAGGCTTTAAGATTAGGGGAGGATGCTTTTGATATCAATACCGTGCATATTGACTATGGCTAGATGTGTTTCACTCTGTCCTGCACAAGGGCGGGGTACAGATTCTCTTCTTCATTAAGAGGCTTGATATCCATTAGCTCACTGCCTGTTATGATAACAAAGCAATAAAGCAATAAAAATGAAGGTATACAGGTATACAAATACCAAAAATAAAGACAATAGGAGCATAATTAGTTCCCCAAAGAGGTGTGGCTGAATAAGCAAGCCTGAGAGTTTAATGTCTTTGGACCTGTGGGGGATAAAACTGCTCTAATGCCCCCCCCCCAGCTTTTCTTCCAGTTTCTCTTGGTTTGCCAAAGGCCAGAAGAGGAGCCACAGCAATCCATGATTTATTGACCTTCCCCTACAACCCTGATTGCACAATATACAATTAACTGCCTTGAAGAAAAGTGGAAGCTCATTCTGGGAATTCCATTTGGTTTTTCAGTTGGGCGTTCGTGGATGGGGTGGTAGCATCTCAATACCATTAGAACAGGGGTCTCCAACCATGGTGACTTTAAGACCTGTGGACTTTAACTCTCAGAATTCCTCAGTTGGCAGTGTGATTCTGAGAGTTAAAGTCCACAAAACTTAAAGTTGCTAAGTTTGGAGACCCCTGCACTAGAAGGAGGGGGCCGCAAGTTTTTTACTCTCATTTCTGCCATTGTTAGGGTGTACCAGTTGTCATTGCACATGGCTAGGTATGGCATAGCCTGCCTAATATTCCACATTCAGTTTTCAATTCCAGGGGCTTGGTCAGCTGGGGGACAGGCCTTTTGGGAGGGATTCAAGAAAGAGGGTTGAGCCCTGAGGTTACTCACCCCCAAACAGTGTAGGAGACTCTCAGAATATCTGCTATTTGTTTTGAGATGATGTGCTTCCTCCCATGTGTCATGCCCTGTCCCTCATCTACCCCTAAATTTCCGAAGCAGCTTTCTTCCCCTGTGCCAAAGGATCTCTCTATGCCAGGGGTGTCAAACTTGATTTCATTGAGGGCCGGATCAGCATGGAGTTTGACACCCCTGATCTATGCAGATAATTTCCTTTTTTTCAAAAGAGTTTGTTTGATTCGTACAAGGGAGAGGACTCCATGGTAGTGTCTTGATTTTGGAATGCCCCCCTGTATTTTATTATTTTGGCGTCGTTGAAACCTTTCTTTTAAAGGCATAATATAAATGAGGAGTTCCATTTTTGCATTTAAGCGTGCATTTTTAACCCTTGTCAGAGCAGCCTCCGTTTTTGTTTCATGGGGTAGCTTGCATCTTACAATACAATAGCAGAGTTGGAAAGGACCTTGGAGATCTTCTAGTCCAACCCCCCTGCCTAGGCAGGAAACCTATACGTTTCAGACAAATGGCTATCCAACATCTTAAAGACTTCCAGTGTTGGGGCATTCACAACTTCTGGAGGCAAGCTGTTCCACTGATTGTTCTCACTGTCAGGAAATTTCTCCTCAGTTCTAAGTTGCTTCTCTGCTTGATTAGTTTCCACCCATTGCTTCTTGTTCTACACTCAGGTGCCTTGGAGAATAGTTTGACTCCCTCTTCTTTGTGGCAATCCCTGAGATATTGGAAGACTGCTATCATGTCTCCCCTAGTCCTTCTTTTCATTAAACTAGACATACCCAGTTCCTGCAACGGTTCTTCATATGTTTTAGTCTCCAGTCCCCTAATCATCTTTGTTGCTCTTCTCTGCACTCTTTGTATGTTATTTTTTTCATAAACAGGTATTCCAAAAGCCATTCCCCTTATAAATTATATAATGTAGTTCATATAATTAACATATAATGATTATGGGGCCTGACATTTTATTTCAAGTAGACATTAAACAGGAGAAGAGAAAATACTGAATCCTCTTCCATCCCACGCAATGGGGGCCAAGGACTTCTCACTCCCAATTCAACACTGACTGGTACCTTGTAGAAAGGGAAAAATCAGCTCATTACAGAACTACCCACTCTTGTTCCATGGAACCAATATAAAATGATACTATGGTTGAACATCTGTAGAGATTCTCCATCCTCCAGGTCATGGTTGTCCTAAAGGTGCTTTTTCTAAGGGGCAACTGGGCTTTCTTGTTTTTTCTTTTGAGGACATTTTTCTTCTCATCCGAGAAGCTTCTTCAGTTCTGACTGGATGGTGGGGAAGGGGAGGATTTATACTCCTTGCAGACAGCTG